ACATGACATTTTATGGAAGACATAAAAGATGAGGTCCCTGAGAGATAGCTTAATTTAAAGGGGGGGGCATGATCCAGCCTTCCTTCACCATAGCCTGCACTCGGCCTGCATCCATTAATCCTGCGCACATGGGTTTCTGCTGCTAATGCTTCTTCCCCGCTGACAGCTGAGTCACAAGCGGACTGCTGTGCTCACACAATAGTTGTGTTTGTGTCACAGCATGTGAAAAAGTCAAACTCAAATTATTTTTATTTTTACACATAGGATAAAGACATGTGAATGGATTCAGCCATCTGAGTGCACTTAGAGGCAACTAAGTGACTAAGCCACCCGTTTCTTGGGTCCTGGCACAGCAACAGTTGTGTTGGCATGATATAAAGAGGGCACAACTTTAACACCTTACCAGGATCTGTCTGTCAGCACAAAAGGACTCTCCCCCCCCCTTTTCTGCTCCAGAGGGACTCCTCAGCTTTACGGGGAACAGGTTTTGAGGGAACACATAAGGGCTGAGGAGGGGGAGAATCGTCCCTTCCTTGTTGGGCTGATGGAAACAATTCCATCGATGGAACAACTCCTTTGGATCCCAGTCAAGAGTTCTGGAATCGTATTATCATCTGCTCTCTTCTAAAGAGATATACCATCTGCTGTTATTGGATGGGCACAGAATACTACCGTAGGAGTATAAACACAATTATGGAGCATGGCATTCTAATTTACATGATCTGCGCATTAGGCACTCCTAAGACAGCAAAGTCTTCAAGTCCTACTGCAGTGTTCATATTCGACAATCATGGGATACAGTTCAGACAGTGAAATCATCTGAAAACTTCCATGCAATTCTTTTTTGTCCTGGACAAACTAGACATGAAAAAAATGTTTGCTTGAGTGAATCCAAACCTTTTAGCTCCTGGCTTCTTTATCTGCAACCCCAGTTTTCAGCCCTTCCAGTCCATTCCCTCCTTATCCAAAGGTTTAACTAATGTTCCCTCTCTTCTGAAAACTGTTGTCATTCTTTCATGCTGTCAAGTCACCTGCAACTTATGGCAATGAATGAATGAGAGATCACCAAAATGTCCTTTTGTCAACAGCCCTGCTCAGCTCTTGTAAACTCAAGCCTGTGGGTTCCTTAGGTCATCAATCCATCTCGTATATGGTCTCCCTCTTTTCCTGCTGCCTTCAACCTTTCCTAGCATCATTGTTTTTTCCAGAGAATCTTGCCTTCTCATGATCTCTCAGTTTCAACATTTTTGCCTCCAGAGATAGTTCGGACTTGATTTAATCTAGGACCCACTTGTTTGTCTTGCTGGCCATCCAGGGTATCTGCAAAGCATTCCTCTGGCACCACATTTCAAACGAATTGGGGTTTTTTTTGTCTGTGTTTTTCCCCCTGTCAGCTTTTTCTCTACTGTCCAGCTCTCTCACCCATACATGGCAATTAGAAATACAAGAGTGTGGACGATCTTGGTATTAGTCTCCAGTGAGATATCCTTCCACTTGATGGTCTTTTCTAATTCTTTCATTGCTGCCCTTCCAAGTCTCAGTCTTCTTCTGATTTCTTGGCTACAGTCTCCTGTTGGATTGATGATTGAATATATAAAACCTTCTAACTATTTCAGTTTCTTCATTGTCAACATTAACGTGGTGTAGTTCTTCTGTAGTCATGATTTTCATCTTCTTAATGTCCATCTGAATCCTGCTTTAGCACTTTGTTCACTTCCACCAAAAGTCATTTCAAGACATTGCTGCTTTCTACCAGTAAGACGGTGTCATCTGCGCTGCTTTCTACCAGTAAGACGGTGTCATCTGTGCATCTTACATTATTGATATTTCTTCCATCAATGTTCACTCCTCCTAGTCTAGTCTGGCTTTCCGTATTATATGTTCTCATACAGATTGAATAGATGAGGGGGTAACACATTTGCCTATAGGAAACCATTCTGTCTTGCTATTTTGTGTTCTACCAGTAGCTTCTTGTCCACAATACAGATTATGCATATAAAAGAGACTTGAGCTATGATTAGGAAAAGAAGTGCATATGGTCATCTCTCTTCTGAATAAACTAGGAGTGAGCAACTACAGTGGATCTGCAGGCTAATTCTGCTTCCCAGGGCCTGCTATGTACCTGTACCTCTACTGAAAATACACTTTCCTTCATTTTTATAAAAATCCAGAAGTGAATGGTGTTTCCCTCTCAGTTTAGAAAAGAAAACACCGGTTTAGAAAAGAAAACAACGGAAAGGTGGGAGGAGAGGACGCTTTGGCCTAATAATAAGGATAATAATAATAAATAAAGTTCAATAAGTTTCCTTGTTTTGTTTTCAGATTTCTTACAGAAGCAACGATGGAGGCTCTCAATGCAGCGGTTGAAAGAAACTGACGGGACAGCCTTGGTGCCAAGGTACATATAGCAGGGGGGTGAGGTCTATGCTAATGTATTTTCCTTTGCTGCCGCAGAAGCTCTAGATAGAATATTCTGACAAGGCTCTGTGCATGTGCAGATTATCCATAGTGTGATTCACAGAGGCCACAAAGAAGAACTATAACATAGACTTTAGTATGCTTTATTAGGTCACCACATACACAATTTTAATATCTACAGAAGTAACATAAACTAGATAATGAAAAAAAAACACATATACTTTGATGAGTAAAATTTATCTGAAGATAATAAAATCCATGTCTGGTTATGACAGTATGAATTGTTATTATTTAACAGTTTGCTACTATTCTGATGCATTCTTGTTGTTTTAGTGGTGTGTGAATCTCTCTCACACATAAACACACATGCATGGATACATACATACAGTATGGGGAGAAGGAGAGTTTAAGCCTTATTTGATATACTTGTGTTTTTGATGGAAATTAGAATTAAAATGTTTTAATAAAATAGACTTTTTGACAGCAGAAACTTTGGCTTGATTCTATAGAGATTAGGCAAGTATTGTTTGCTTGTATGGTTAAATAGATGATTTGGAAAACTATAGCAATATTCAAAGAAATATGAATCTTAAACATGTAGCTAGTACTGAAACCTCCCACTCCTTCTGGTCTCCTTTCCTGAAACAAGCCATTTTAAAGACAAATACTGTAACTCGCTACAGCAGATAAACCAGTTAAAGAGGCAACACTAACTTCGCTTCAATTATTCATACACAACATTCATTATCAGAGGAGGCCTTGTTATTTCTGATGAGAGACAAAAGACTGAGTTGGCAGCTGGCTGCGGTTTATCGAAAGCCAACACAAAGTTCTGCAACTGCAGAGAAGCTGGCAAAAGGAGGCTGTTCCTTTTATTGCAGGCAAGCACAGTTGAATGCCTAGTATCCGGGCTTCCCACCCCCATCTTTTGAAAGCTAAACATCCATAAAGCTGTCAGCACTGTAAAACAAATGGGCAGCAATACTTTGAGACAGTGAGCAGGCCCTGCCTTTTCCCTTGCACACCCATGGTGCTGAGCAGTGCCAGCTCTGTGTCAAGGTTTTGCTTTCCAGGAATACCGCCTGGTGACCTGGGTTTTAACAGGAACACCAACCAGGTCGGTTGGGAACACACACACCCCCAGCCTCCTAGGACCGGACTGTGTCCAATAGCCTTCGGGGCAGACACTCTTAATGAGTCCAACCTCCCCACAAATGGGAGCCGTCATTGTCAACTCAGACTTTAGCAGATGATGGTCCAGCCAGGACAAGGCAGAAGTTGTTATATGCGTAACCCTCAGATCATCCTTATCTCTGACAGCTGTAAATACTGGACCAAGAATATGTCCAGCCGTATGGGTGGGACCTTTCACAAAGTGGGATAAGCGTATGGATGTCATGGTATCCATGAACTCCAGGGCCACAGCATAGAGATTCACCTGCACAAGGATGCTGAAGTCCCCCAGGCATGCCATTTGTCACGGGGAAAGCTACAGAGGGACTGGAGGCGGTTGGGGGGAAGGGACAGTTCGGACCTGTGATTGTTTCAGTTAAATGCATCTAGGCTTTGTGTGTGTGTGTGTGTGTGTGTGTGTGTGTGTGTGTGTGTGTGAGAGAGAGAGAGAGAGAGAGAGAGAGAGAAGAATTTTTCCTGTCATGACCCTGAGGCCTTTCGTGTGTGCGTGTGTGTGTGTGCGTGTGCGTGTGTGTGTGAGAGAGAGAGAGAGAGAGAGGTATTTTTTAATTTACTAATTAAACCGCAGAAGCCTCTGTGCTGCAAAGTCAGAAGACCTGCAGTTGTAAGATCCATGCGACGGAGTGAGCGCCCGTCGCTTGTCCCAGCTCCCGCCAACCTAGCAGCTCGAAAGCATGCAAATGCAAGTAGATAAATAGGGACCACTTCAGTGGGAAGGTAACGGCATTCTGCGTCTAGTCGCACTGGCCACGTAACCATGGAAGATTGTCTTTGGACAAACGCTAGCTCTGTGGGTTGGAAATGGGGATGAACACCACCTCCTAGAGTCGGACACGACTGGACAAATTGTCAAGGGGAACATTTACCTTTACCTAAGAAAGCACTAATTCAAGCCTGTGCTTATTTATTTCCCTTAAACAAAGAATCACACAGTTTTCAGTGTCAGACGTTTCACTTTGGACATCACTAATAAGGGTATTATTAATCAAATACTTCTGCCACATGCACAGGAAGCCCTGTAGTCAGAATTATGTCAAGAACTTCTCAGGTCCAATGATTCCCCTTCACATAGAATTAGCGGCTCATGCATCATCTAAACTGAACAGCTGAAGCATGAAGTCGATATAAAAGGTCTTTTGTCATTTGACTAAATGACTGGTTAGACACGTAACATAAAATAATAATAATTCCAAAGAGATTGTTCATTTTAATCACCTCGAGTGTATAAAAAGAACGGCCTAGCCCCATGGTTCAGCAGATTACACACAAAAGGTTCGGAAAGTCATAATAATGATAACACACTCAAGACGCCTGGCTTCCTGCTCAAAGATAAAAGAGCTAATTTATCACCCAGAATGAGGAAGGATGGTGGATTCAACTACTCATACCTGAGCAAAAGCTGTTATCTGCTGCAGTGCCACTGAGTGAAGATCTTGATCTCCGCTTTCCACAAGCAGTTTCAGGGATGGTAGCAGAAGGGACTCATTGAGGAGCAGCATGCACAGGTCTCTTGTGCACTGGAAAGGAAAACAAAAGCTTCAGAGAAGGCGGAGTGACACAACTGGCATTCAAGTTCAGGACAGTCGAGAGCAAACCTTTTTAAAGCAAGAAAACGAACAAAAATCAGCCCATTTGAAAAGCAGAGCAAAGCACCTGGAAAATTCCCATTGAGTGTTTTGTTCCTTGAAAGTCCCATAAGAGTCATTGTGGGCGAAAGCCACCATAGGGCCTTTTGCAGCCACTGATACCACCACTCTCTCTTGTTGCTCTTGCTGGAGAACCAAGGGACCTGTATCTGGCAGGTGAAAAGAGAGGAGACTGCACTGCACAGCTCACTTACTCAGTGTTCACTTCATTCTCTCTCTCACCACTACTGCCTTCTGCTACAGAGAGAGAGAGACATTTCCAACAGCTGACTGCCTGAATGGGAAGCCTGCACAGCTCACTTACTCAGTGTTCACTTCACTTTCTCTCTCACCGCTACTGCCTTCTGCTACTGAGAGAGAAACATTTCCAACAGCTGACTGCCTGAACGGGAAGCCACTCAGCTCAAGCAGTTGGTCGTCATGATGTGGCATTTTTGACCTTGCCATGAAAAGGTGGGACGGTAAGCCAGAGCCTGCGGCCCATGGCAACGTTCCATTTGCTGGCCTTCGTGTCAAAGGTTCACGACAAAAATCAAAGCATGGCTCAGAAACAGGTTCATATTGCCTTGGACCCCTTTGATGTACATCAGCTTTCTCAGTAAAGGAACCTGCAAACCAGAGGTATGTGCAGGAAATACGCTGCGTGTTTAGATTCAAGAAAATTCAAGTGCTCTTAGTATTGCCTGCTATCACCCTAAACATCACCCCGCCCCAGATTATCCAATGATGCTTGTCAATGGCTGCAGACCATTGTTCAATTAACCACACCTTATCCTCTCAGATCAGAAGGATGAACATAATTAAACACTAAATTCTGAACGCATTCCCTTACTGGCCCCACATAATCCTTCTCTCAGCATTTCTTATCATTAAGCCGCATGGAATAATTAAGGCAAGGACAGATATTGCACACGTGTCAAAATAAGAGCACCGAGTAAAGAAGATGAAGTGGGGATCCAGGAACAGATCAATGTTTCTGTGGCCTATCTGGAAGTTTGAACACATGGAGAGGGGTGTACTTAGCCTTGCCCCTTCTGCCATGTCTTTGCTCAGGCCATCATCACCATGTCTGAAGAGGAAATGTTCTCGCTTGTGAAGGCTTTCCCACAGCCTCCAAATCCTCGATTTTTTAAGGATTCCTACTTGTATGCAGAGCTTGCATAAGAGCAGCAATCTCTCCTTTTCAGGCCTGCTCATGATAGTTGGTGTAATGCAACAGTGGAAGGGGGCAGGACTACGTGAACCAGATTCTGTAAACCTGAATCAGACTATAATCCTCTGACTTTCTCAAAAAGTCCTTCTCCACCAAGGGCCTCTACTCTAGTTTTTTGTAACTGATGCCGCATTGTTCTGTGATAGATGCTTGGGTGAATAATGACCAACGGGACTTTTCCTTAACCAAGGACCTAAAGCCACTTCCAACCACAATTTCCAATCCTGATTTAAGAGATGTAGTCTAAAAGGGTTTTTCTTTTAAATTCCCTCATTTCACTTTTCAACCTTTACTGTGGGTAGAAAGGAGTAAGACAACCCATTAAAATCTAAACAACACCATTTATTTATTTATTTATTTATTTATTTATTTATTTATTTATTTATTTATTTATTTATTTATTTATTTATTTATTTATTTAT